TAAAACTTATTTTCAAATTCCACATGTGAATTGGGGACCGGCCTTTCTCTGAGCATATGCCGGGGACCAAACCAACACAGGTAAGGAAAAGGACTACCTACCCAGATAAGGAAGAGGTGACTGCTTCGCTAACGATTTTGTTTCGGTACAAACTCAACTCCAAAAGTCGAGACATTTTCAGACTGTTTGAAAATTACATTGAGAGAACAACGGAAATATGGGCAACTGAATAAGATGAAATATGGGCAACTGAATAAGAACTAAAATACTTGTGAATCCTTCCATTCCCGGTTCAACTCCCATTTCTACTTCCCTCATTATAACCTTTCCGACTTCACTGAAGTACTGAAAATCTTCGAAACACTCCTGTATCTGTAGACCCACGAGTTGTGTCCCCCGGCACAGGAGCAATACCATCTCCCGCGCTTCCACGCTCCCTTTGGAAATCGCATCTGAGGCAGGTCGTTCAGCTCACGTCACCTCGTGGTATCTGACGGAATAAGTATGATGGTTAATGCACTGGCGGTAAAGCCATAACTGCACCTACCGCCACCTTACACCTCGGGCGGGGTCGGACCGACCCCTAGCTGCGCTTCACCATCTGGGCGCGAGGGGTGGCGTGTGTGCTCCCTTCCCTCGTCCCTACGTCGGCGAGCAGTGATTAGTGGCGGTCGAGTGGATAGTGTGAAGTGTATTAGACCCTGCTGCGATTTTGTGATTATCGCTACTGGATATTATGTGGCCTATGGGTTGTTTGTGGACATCTACCTAATCGAATTGTGACACGTAACAATTTGCTACATTGATTTGAACAATGATTTGTCTGGATTTGTCTGGATTTGGAATTTGGGTTGTGGATTTTAATTAAAACTCTAGTATATTTTACATGCTTATTGCTGGCCCTCTTTCTCGGAAACATGGATAAAGGCGATGTTTTTAAATATTTCATTGGTCGTTCTTCCCCAAGGAGACAATTTGTTGACAAACGCCATTGTCTTATAAGGATTATTAATTAATCACTTTCATGTATCGTCGTCGTAGCACCGACATTTGCACCGGTTTACCACTAAGCCTCGATATTCACAACAGCAGTCCTGGACACAGTGGCAGCAGTTCCAACAGCAGTCACATGGATCGAATGCGGATCCTTGAATGCACGTGGGTATGCCTCCTCCTGACGCGTTCCCGTGGCATGAGAGGGGGAGCCCGTATGGATACACACGTAATAATAATAATGCGATCCCAACAGGTGTTTGAATAGTATGAATTCTTCCATTTCTTCATCTTTTCATTTCACACTTTTTCCAATTGGCCTTGGTCGTTGCATCTCAATACAAACACTCGTTGGGTGAATTCCCTTGTCGCGGGTTCCTTAGGTGAATTTAAGTGAAAAATTCTGCTCCTAGGAACGGTCTACCTTTTTCTAAAGAATACCCATTGCGAAATCCGTCTTCTTCTGTACCTTTTTTAAGCAGGTGAAAACATTTGTTGAATATTTTAGAAGAATCTGTCTGTTCTAACCCAACAGTAAGCAGTAAGCTACATAGTTTGTAACAGTATTTTAAGAAAATCAAATGTGCACCAGAATCCGCTACCAGTTAACAGTTAATTAATAATTCATGAGATGGTTATTTCGTACTGCCAGGCGCGTCAGCAGTTATTATCATTAGCCCTGTTAGTAATGTGTGTTTATCAAGGGAGGTGGTAGGGTTTTCCCCCGTGGATGTACCTCCTCCCTGAATGGTGATGTCCGTCGGCTTGCGTGAATGTAAGGGTATGAGTAAGTAAGGGATCTAGGACAAGAAAGAGGAAGGGCAGATTGCGCACAGTCCGTGATCCATTAGTTAGTGTGCTGCTCCACCATTCTGCTGGTGTTGATCGAAGAAATCACGAAAAAATGCAGATCTGAACAGACGGCCACTAGAATTCTTGTTCTGGCAGCGGCAGAATTCGATCTAGCTCTCAAGCGGTCGTCGAAAATCCTGCCCCCGTCGTAACTCGAACTTTAGGACTTCTGTGTAAAAGGCACTGAATTGACAACAGTGGATACCTTGAGTCTGTTTCATGAGATGAAATGTCATAAAAAATTGAATAATTAAAACTTTCAACTGAGTCAGAAGGGTTTAAAGAAGACTAATTAGGTATTGGTTGAAGAATAAGTACTTGTGTAGCAAAACGAAATAAAACAGAGAAGATGTAGAAGGAAGTATCAGACGAGACAAACTATATTCGTGAGAAGTGTTTTAAATGGGGGGTGTCCCCGAGTACTTTTCTGCGAAATCAGGAAAGATTAATTGAAAACCTCGAGGCAATAATTTGCTACACTATGATACGAAGTTTTGATAAAAGGAAAGTAAAGGATTAAACACTTCCTTCTGCACTAGGGGATAAAGAACATTAATTTATGGATTACACTGCCATGTTCTGGTGAATCCTATATAGATTAGAAACTCAATATAGCTCGCATAGCATATTATTGCCCGAGGTCTTAATGATAAGCTTTGTTCATGACTTGTTTCCAACTTTCAGACCTCCGCCCTGCGAAATTTCGTTTGGATGCGCTTCCGGCGGTACAAAAATACGATTAATCATGCTGCACTGACAACCAAGACACTCGAGTCCAAACGCCCGTCAGAAATGAGGACAAGAGTCTCAAATGTGAAGTTGAATGTGCCGAATGATGTGCTTAAGATGTATTCGGGGGCTACCTTCAAATTGGGCGTGAGAGACGTGCAATCTATTTCAAGCCAATAACAGCCCACATGAATCGCAAAATGAGACTGACACGTAATATGTTTAAAAATTATTTCTCAGAAGGGTTAATCGGATAAAGAGTTGAGATATTTCTTCACATCACACAATACCACAACCAGAAATGCCAATGCCCTCATAACATCCTGAGGTAAAAGTATGTCTTGAGCCACCTGGTAAACAATAGTATGAAGACTTCACTTTTCATCATTTTAAGCATTATTAAAACCAACACTATAGTAATTTTCGTATTTATCTAAGTGAATCTTTAAGGAGAAGACGGAGAAGTTGACTAGGACCCTTAGCAATAGCGAAGTTGACTAGGTCCTTAACCAACCAAGTCCCTGCAGATATTGACATTCAGTGTTTTTTGTTATTAAAAATATTTCAAAATAAGGTTGTTGATATTATCACGTACAGAAAGTTATCCTTGCCGTTCTGTAAAAACGAGCCTTCTGACGAGCTAACTCATTTAATAGCAAAACAAAAAACTAATCCCAAAAGCGCCCTTTAACTATTTTTTTTGTTTAGTGAACTAAATATCCCCATTAATTTCATCCAAAAACCATTGATCACTATGTTAATTGCACGTGTGGAATTAAAACTACCGATCAGCACAGCTACCGATCAGCACAGCTCCGATCAGAATTCAGAAAAAGGATACAAATCGTCACGATAATACAGACGTGTCCAAGGTATTTCCAGTCGACCATGAAACATGAACTAAAATATACATTACAGATTACGTACTTACATCAACGACTTATAAACATCGAATGAATAAGACAAAATGGTTGTCTAAAAGTTGCTTTGACACTACCTGAGTAATGTAACAAAATATTTAACGTGATTAAATTAAATGTTTTTCGTGTAAAACATTTGTTCTTAGAATATTACATATGTAAAAAATGTAAACGTCAGTTGTGCTACCCATTTTCAAAAGAATGCGAGTAAAGAAGGGTTAGGAGTGGCTCGTTTGTTTTTTACTTTCCAATTTTTATAAATGTTGGGTTCTCTCTCATACCTTTCTTAACTTTTCGTGGGTACTAAAGTTTTCACGATTGGTCAGCTTGTTTTAATATTTCATCCGGGATATGTTCAATATCTGGCATTTGCAAACATTTCTTTATATTCTATGCCAGTATGATGATCATAAGTAAACAATGCAAGACCCACTAAAATAGTTCTTGTTCAGTAGTAATGCGGTGTTATCAGATGTATGCCTGGAATGGTAAAGATGTGCATGAATGTCTCAGAATTTAAGTTATGCTTAAACGTAACATGTGGATAAAGGGATATATTTGCACTCCTGGTAAACGAAAATTTGCTCCTATCGTCACTCGTTTACTTGAATATTCTAGTCATGTGATTACACCAATCATTATGCACTTGTTTCTTTAATTAGTATGAAGTTCGCTGCAACATTGCAACGTCCGTTGCGCCTTCAGCGCCATCGGTGAATGGCCTGGGCGCCTTTCTCTAATTCAGGACAGCGCGTTGGACTCGCGACGTACCCTTGTCCAATATAAAATACACAATGATCGAGCGGTCTCGGACCGAAGGATCGAGGGTACTATTCCCACCTCGGGCATAGTTGTATTTGTGTTCGTTCTTTCAACACATCACCACCATATCACTTCACCTAGTTCATAGTTACCCATAAAGTTAAAAACAATAGTGGTCGCTAATGATTTAGATGTTAATGCGACTTTAAAGAACAAAAAAAACAACAATCAACATTATATATCATATCACTTTTTTGGCTTCGGTCATGTATTGTGACCCTTTTCGAGTTACTTGTATTGTTTGTTCAGTGAATGCAAGTTCAGGTCTCATTGTCAACATTGTCTAGAGACATCAATTCATGTCACACAAATTAAACCGAATCGTTGTAAGGAAAAGTTTTGCGATGTAAATATGTATTATTTACTGTTAATAATGAAGGGCTCCGGCGTTAAAGATGGTAAGCCTCAATGTTATAGTTTTTGTGGTATTAAAATTTTGGAAAGCTTCCATTTGCAGTCCGTGCGCTGTGATTCTAAAATAGTCCAAATTATGGCGCATGATTGTCATCCATCTTTATGTAGCTCATTTAAACCCCTTCAGCAAAACTGTTCACTTGATTATATCTCGCAAACGTTTCGATGTGGGTTAGCAAGTTTTACACCCTAATCCTTCAAATATTGACTGTTTTAACACACATCCACATACAAATACCTTGCGTTTGGTGTTGGCGTAGGCGCACTCACCTATAGTGTGTTGCGTCTCGACGCTGAAGAGGAAGCACGAGGCGAAGCCGGACACTTCGCGCACGCAGGGAATGTGCTCGGGCGGGGGCGGCG